TCTAGCTAGTCTTATAGGACGTCCATCGCCGCTTATTATGGTCGATATGTTGAGGGATTTTCGACGTTTTGGAACAACTCTGTTSGCRACTGCYTTTTCTAGCACCTAATACAAGTTAATAAGTATATTACTTTTGARATCAAATGAAATTAAAACAGTCGCAAATCACCAATTCAATCAATCAATCACCCATTCAACCAATCAATCAAGCCATTAAYCAAGGCATCAGTCAGTCAGCCAAATTAAAATCAATCAATCAATCAATCAAGCCATCAGTCAGTCAACCAAATTMATCAATCAATCAATTGGTGTTACGTTCAATGTTCTCGAAGGAAAGTAAAATGCCTTACTTGAAAAACTCGAGAAAGAACACTCAAATTTTCGTCTCCCTTTTTCATAAGCAATCTTTCTATCGGTATCGCCATTGTCCAGTCCAAAAGACAKAGAATYAGTGGRATCACCACCTAAAAAGACATTAGTGAACACAGTTATTAAATCTGTTCAAAAAGAAAACACTTTAAAGGGACACTGTCAATGGATGACATGCGCAGTAACAGTCTCACCTCTAACGGACTTTGAAAGTATTAACCTTCGAGATAAATCATTTTGTGGTGCTTTTGACACACTTTGGAATATTCTAGATCTGTTTACGTTTACGAGGTGATTTATGTCGCGCCAACTTGGAGTCATAAACTTGATAACACTAGCCTAATGTTTTCAAGTTTACTCGCGCATGCGTGCCATTGACAGTGTCCCTTTAATCCTAGCGTAATCGACCCAATTATGCTCTAAGTAATAACGTTGACTCTAGGTACAGGGCTATGGCATACCGAGTTCTCGTCCTGGGCTTGTGCTGCTTCTCCTCCAGGTAAAATACTGACRAGTGTATGACATAAAACCTATGAACATACATGAATGAAATGCTGAATGCAAAATTTCAATTTTTTTTTATATTTGCAAAGTTCAAATATGAATTGTGTTCTTTCGCTTTTATCCAAATGTTGAGTTTGTGGAATTCATGAWCAAATCGGCCTAACACTGCACAGAGTTTTAATTGATATATCATGTTATAAACACATTATTTTTCTTTGTTTTCTTTGTGCATTGTTGTTTTATTTCTACTTACTATTTTTCAGTCATTACTTCATAGGGCTTACCTCTACGATCTTCAGTGGTAAATCATATTCATATGCCGATAGTTCATTGTAATACTCTGATAGTAGGTGGATAAGGTCTACAGCTACCGTTGAAATAGCCTTGTGGTAAAACTGCAAGAAAGTAAGAGTAGTAGTATTAGAACACATCCTCGTCCCCCAGCCTAAACAAACTAGAAAAACAACCAACAAAAATCGACACCATGGAAACCAATGAAACGAGAACCAAGAGAATGATTTCCCAACAACAGATACATCGTCACCATCATCATCAACAACAACATCATCATCATCAACATCTTCATCATCAACAACAACATCTTCATCATCATCATTATTATCAACAACAGCAACATCTTCATCACCATCATTATCATCATCAACAACATCTTCATCATCATTATTTTTCATCAACAACAACATCTTCATCATCATCATCAACAACAGCAACATGTTCATCATCATCTTCAACAACAACGATACTTACAGTAATACTTTGTAAAAGAACACAGATACAATCCTGTACTCGAGGATGACCTTGACAATGTACCAACTCTTCAACCAGAAACAAACCSAGAGAGTTGAGAGCAATACATCTACGAAAACAAACAGAAAACAGCTTGTAACTTATATATAATTCCTCGTAGYTTGTGCTTAAGKAGAGGAATGAAGTGCTTCATACCTAGCGGTAGTTGATGGATCTAGCTTAGCTACTCTAAGCAATGCTACAATAAGCTTCTCCTGTTGACAAAATGAAACTAAGTTACTTAASTGACAACGTAGATAGATAACGCGAAAATGTTATTGATGATAATGGCAACTGGATGCATAGTCAAACACTGTAAGCAATAGACCTTTTCTGAATTACAAAATCACGGTGCTTTGTGGAMCAGCTTCAGTACAAACAACGCCATATTTGGCAGCATGAACAAAAGATGTTTGTACCGAATCTAGACCACAGTGCAATGCAAACTTCTATCTCAGAAAAGGCCTATTGAGACGACCGCTGAACGTGCAATAATAGATAAGTCACACTTACAGACAAGTATTTGAGGGTATGTATCATTGCACGCTCAATGGGCGTCTCGGCTTCGATACAAAAGCACGTCTGCCTTTCAAGATGGCGCAAGTGTGTCAAATGGACAAATGTATGATGATGTCAATCATGATGATTGACAGTTCACTGATTCAATCACTAACCTTTATGTCTTTACCAGTACTGGTTGGTTGGTATTCATTCGTTTGGTGCCCTGGTTGATGCAATGGCATGTTYGGAAAGGCATTGGGATAGCTTAATAACGAAGCCATCAGCGTTACAGCCTCGGCACGTGGCAGCTGTAAACAACAATAACATCAATATATTAAGTTGATTACACAGCACAGCACAGCACAGCACACGAGGAACAAAACAAAACGCCCACATACCTCCATGTTTTGATTGATAAAGATGGTATTCGCAGCTTGGATAAAATCCAGAATAAGMAGCGTACAGCAGGGTAGTGTTAACGAGAAAAAATGTCCAGAGTTACTAATAATAGCACTGATAACATCCTGATCAGTTCCAGTCAAGCCAATGTGCATTAGACGATAGAAGTGAGTAAGATATTCCTGTGACAGAGGGAGCTCATGTCGACGAACGGTCATGGAAGCCATTAGCTGGTAGGCTAATAAACGTCCCTGTTTGAATTTGTATGACATTGACATTGAAGCAGCCTGTAAATCAAATAAAAAACGTTGTTTAGCTTGGTTGGACTCCGTTATTTGCTAACTATACAGGTCATTTATCCGTAATTATGTGTCCGTTGAAGAGGGAGTTCCTTTTTTTCTTGCAGAGAAAAGCTTTCTGTTAAATTTTGACTATTTACCTCAAACACCCATGTGGCAAAGAACTGTAATGGCGGAAGAAGTTCAGGTACTTGAGGTGTRTACTTGTTGTCAAGAGAGATGCCTTGGTTTAGTCGGACCTGCATATCAACAATGCATKAATGACACTTCATTTCTTGAAAGAGGCTATTTATTAGGAGAGAGAATAATATCATCTCTGCAATGTAACTGACACTGAGGACTACAGAGAAGCAACTCTGAGGCTAGTTAACTACATTTTGTACCTTGGCCAGCATGTCCCAGACTGTGGAAAGGCACTCAATGACTTTAGCATGRATYGCAGGGCTGCTAATTTTGTTAATGTTACCCAGAATGCCCAGCATTCTTCGCCATAACACCACAGATGACACAGGTCCCCACCCCTCCCTTGTTCCACCAGCAATGACACATTGATCCTCATCGCTGACCCCTCCCTCAGAGTCGTCCATCTCTAATAGACCGTCATGGTTTTCAGTTAGAGGTGGAGTTGGACTTCTGTACCCTCGGCTCAAAACGTCAGATATATCTGAAAGAAGTTGAAAATA